TTTTTGCATGATAATTGCATTTCATTTTCATTCTGTTTAATATTCAACAAGTTGAACAGATAATCCACCCTAACCCCACTACTTGGTATCGGTATCGGTATCGGCGAGTACCCAAACTCAAGTACTCGTATTTGTACTCAGTCTTGAAAAAACTGGTATCGGGACACCCCTMATTTAAACATAAATGTAGACAAATTACATAAATTACACATTAGATGTAAAGTAATACTGCTTTATGAGTTATTTCCAACTTACCTTCCATCTCCCAGCCATCAGTAATATTTGTGGTCACCTTCTTCCTACAGAACAATTATTTAAAGGACAGAAAATGACATTTAAACAAGGTATGAGGACAGTGAACAAAGAAAAGATACACTAAGCCAAACAAGAAATTCTAAAATAATCAGTGATTTGTTCCTCAGAGAGGTTTGGTTGTTAAGATGTACGGCTGAAAATATATGCACAATGAACTCTACTTGGCACTTCAGGCAACCCTGAAACTACAACTGCTAAATTTATTTAGTATTTTGTTCAGTGCAATTGTTTGTCTGCTCTCTGAGGGGGGCTTATGCTCATACACATTGGAAACTCCTGGGCTAGGCTATCGCTACTATTAGCTTTTAGCTAGTCTTTTGGTACCATTAAGTTTGTCTCTAATATGTTTCCACTTTTGGCTAGCGTTTTGCTCCTTTTAGCAAGCTTTTTGCCACTTTTAGCTATTAGCTATCAAGTTAGCTTTTAAATACTTTGGCTGTGTCTCAATTCAGGGSCTACATCCTCATGAGTGCACATTTGTCGGCTGCATACGTCACTACCTAGCGCCAAGTGCTGTCCCAATTCGAAGGCTTCTGTCAAGACCGACGAAACGACCCAGGGCACAGGCAGATCTTCAAAAAACAAAAAGCACGAGGCCTTTAATGAAAACACAAAAAGGGCTGAGAATACAGCAAAACTCGACTTGAAGCTTGGATACAAAACATGGAGCAGGACAAGACCAGGTAGACAGCACAATGATCCGACCACAGACAGAGACAAGACAGAGCTTAAATACACAGAAAACTAATGAGGGACCTGGAAACACCTGGGGAGAAACACGAGGTTTATCAGCAGACTGAGGTGGTGCAGCTGCGCTGAGAACACAGGGGGGCACATAGAAACACTAGGATAAACAAAGCATAAAATGACAGACCATGACAGTACCTCCTTCTTAACAATCGTCTCCAGACGATCACCAAGGACTATGTTCACACTGCAGGTCTTAATGTTCAGTTCCGATTTTTTGAAAAAATCCAATCTTTTTGTGTGAACGTTCACATTACATTTTATATGTGACCTGCATCAGACTCCTGTGTGAACGCTACACAGCGCCGATGTGACACGCATGCGCAGTAAAAGACGTGACGTCTCATCAGCCGGCTTGTTTGTTTACAGAGCTAGCATGGATGCTACATTTTGCACATCAAATAGGCCGATTAAATAATTATCTGACATGCTTGTTTAGTTCAGTGTTTATATATGAACCAGCCTCTGACCGGGATGCTCCAGTGAAGCTTTTTATTTTTGAACGAAACTACAGGCTGGAAAAAATTATTGACCGAGTAGCTAACTTTAGGATCGATACGCTCCGCGACCCAGGCTGGACATCGTTATTATCATACTATCTACATGGAAAATGAAAAGTAAAAAGATGAAGCAACTGGACTTGTGTTTTGGAACTGTAAACACCTGAATCTACAGATTTAAACAGCGAGACTTGAGGTTAGTGTCTTATCGATCCTTCACCCCCTCCTCCCTGATGAAAAAGTCGGATGGAATGTGACATGAGCGTTCACACTGCAGTCACTTTGAAAACATCAGATATGTATCCGATTTAAAACCACATACTGAAATGGCCTGGGTCGGATTTGAAAAATTCGGATTTGTCGCGTTCAGACTGACATAAAAAAATCGGATATGGGTCAGATGGGGCAAAAAAATCGGATCTGGGTCGGATTTGCCTGCAGTGTGAACGTAGCCAAGGAGAGGCACGGAACAAGGGGAGACGTGACAAGACAGACTCGAGGACAAAACAGGAAAGTTCAGGGGGATGGCCAGGAAACCATCCCACGTAGGGCAAGAGTCCAGGGAGACTGCCAGGGAACCATCCCCAGCGAAGCAGGAGGTCAGGTGGGAGGCCAGGAACCCATCCATGGAGAGATCCCGCAGGAACAGACATAGAGCCACACGAGGAGACGTGAGCAGACGCGTAGCCAACGGAGGAGGCGTGAGCAGACGTGGAGCCCAGGGAATTGGAAGGAGCAGATGTGGAGCCAAGGGAGAAGGCAGGAGCAGACGTGGAGCCAAGGGAGGAAGCAGGAGCAGACATGGAGCCAAGAGAGGAGGCAGGAGCAGGCGTGGAGCCAAGGGAGGAGGCAGGAGCAGACGTGGAGCCAAGGGAGGAGGAAGGAGCAGACGTGGAGCCAAGGGAGGAGGCAGGAGCAGACGTGGAGTCAAGGGAGGAAGTGGGAGATGATGAGTAACCGTCAGAGGTTGATGGAGCCAGAGACTTGGCGATGGTGAACACAGGCGACAGAGGGGACCAAGAGGCGATGACTGACGACCCAGGCAACGGCAGCCTATCCAGGCAACATGGAGGCACCGGCAGCCGACCCAGGCGACATGGAGGCGACAGCGACCAACCCAGTCGACATGGAGGCGATGGACGATGACCCAGGCGATGAGGAGGCGATGGGCGATGACCCAGGCGATGAGGAGGCGATGGGCGTTGTGGAGAMGCCGGCAGCCGACTCACGAACCTCAGAGACCGCCGACTCGRGGCTCGCCAACACCGGAGACATCGGGACCACCAACTGTGGAACCACCAACTGTGGAACCACCGAGACCTCCAACTGTGGAACCACCGACTGTGGAACCACCGACTGTGGAATCGAGATCTTCAACTCAGGAACAGGACCACCGATGCAGGAACAGGAACCATCGATTGTGGAACCGGGACCATCAACTCAGGAACAGGAACCAACAATGCAGGAACAGGAACCACCAATTGTGGAACCCCAACAACTGGTGCAGGAGAAGCAGAAGGGGTGGGAGGGTGGGTACCATATGACTCTCCCAGAACCCTCTGCACAAACCGGTGGAGCTGCTGATGGACTGGCAGAAGCAGCAGCTCAAGGCTATCCGCCAACACACGCTCTATTTGCCGGCAGTAGAGCAGTCTGTCGTCGAGCGTGGAGACCCACTTGAGGATCCTCATAGATCCTCTGATGGTAGGAGAAGTCACCTCATTCTCCCAGGGAGGCAAAGCTRGGACTGGTTCCTCAGGGGCAGGAACAGGACGACCAGCTGCGGAAGACTCAGGTGACGCYGGTGGACTCCAAAGACAAGAGGAGAAAGAATGCCCCACCGAGGGGGCGGTAAGAAAAAAGTGTCTCCTCTTTGAAAAACCCTGAAAACGGGGTGCCTGTGGGCTGGGTACGTGGTCGGATCATTCTATCAAGACCAACGAAATGACCCAGGGTACAGGCAGATCTTCAAAAAACAAAAAGCACGAGGTCTTTAATGAAAACACAAAAAGGGCTGAGAATACAGCAAAACTCACTTGACTTGAAGCTTGGATACAAAACATGGAGCAGGAAAAGACCAGGTAGACAGCACAATGATCTTACGTCAAGCTAAGGCTAGACTGTCTCATTTCACAGCAGATTCATGCAGCCTACCCAGACTGGAAAAARATGTGACCCACTTGGTCCAGGTGGGCGACGTACTCATGAGGATCCAGCGAATTGAGACAAAGCCTTTTAGTTTTCAGCTAGCATTTTGTTACACTTAGCCTTTAGCTAAATTAGCTCTTTTTTTCAACTTTTAACATTTAGCTATCATGTGGCTACTTTTGGCTAATGTTTTGATTTTGAGCTAGAATTATGCAATATTTTAGCCAGCATTTCCCTTTCTTTAGCTTTTACCTAGTGTTTTACTCCTAATAGCATATAGCTATTGTTCTGGCTTTTTTGTTGTTTTAGACTTCAACTATAACTATGATTTTACTAAATTTAGCTAGCTTTTTGTTACTATTAAATTTCAGTTAGCCTTTTGATCTCTCAAAAAACCTTTAGCTTTTAGCTAACCCATTGTTACCATTTAGCCTATATCTACCATGTTTCCACTTTAGGCTATTAGCTTGTCTTTATCTACATAGCTATATCTAGCTAGCTTTTTGTTACATTAGAGTTCAGCTAGCATTTTGATGTCTTGCTACATTTTGCTTTGAGCTATTGCTATTTTTAGCTTTTAATTAAATATGTAACTTTAGCATATTTTTTGCATGACTTCCATGATTTTTGTCTCATGTCAAACTTGCATTTGAAAACAGCAACATAAATAGAAAAGTTGTCTAAAGTTACTTGTCATTAGAAGGTTCTTGTTGAAGATCCAGGGGGTTAAAGTTGGACTCCACCAGCACCACCCTAAAAACAAAATGAAACATGTCATCATGTCTCTGTTTCATTTTATTCTACAGCTCAGTATCTTAGATAAGTCAACATTCTGTCCTTAAAGAAATACTGGACAATCTACAAACTGAAGTGACTTTGACACAAAGCTGAAATGTGATGATTAGATGGCTCCATTACTGTAGTTTTTATGAGATGTTCCTGATCTACAACTGTCCGTCATCCTCTCATAATTTGCCCATTTAAGGAAAATTGACTGTAAATATCTGAATTTTCAAATGAACAGTTCTGGCCACAGCTTACAGCAGGAGTGTCTGATCCTGGTCCTCAAAGATCATGTTGCTGTATGTTTTATTGTTTTCTCTGCTCCAACACAACTGATTCAGTGCAAACGCACAGCAAACAGCTAAAACTAATAAATATGGCAATTGCTCTGGAGCTAATATGTATAGCGTTAGTTCCAGAGGTAATACAGTATATGTACATGGTGTTAGCTTCAAAGCTAATATATAGCATTAGCTTTAGAGCTAACATGGTATTTGCAGCATTTTTCCTTTCCATTTATTCTCTTGGTTGTGTGTTTTTGCTTCCGTCTATTTTCTGATTGCAGCATTTTTCTTTTGCATTTATTTTTTATTTTATTTATTTATTTTTTAATTAAAATCATTCATATACGTATTTGCAGCTGTCTGCCTCTGTCTTACTAGTTTTAAAGGCACTACAGCTAATAACTTTAAACTGGTTACTAATAAACCGGGCTACTGTTGTAGAAAAATAAAAGTCACTGAGAAGATACAGACGACTCTCGTTGGGTCTAACATGTTCTGGACACATCATTTATTTAACTGYACTTCTACCTACCTAAAATTAGCTTCTTTGTTGAATTTGTTAGTAATTGGCACTTCAACCACTCTCAGCTGGTAACATGGAGAACTGCACTGCACAGCTTTCTAAAAAAAAACAGACGATGTCAGATAGTTTGATCTTTTCTCAGCTGGACTGTATGAGCCTGATGAGTGGAAGAGCATCAGGAAGTAAAGCTTCAWGGCAGTTTGTGGTGAGTTTTCCTCACTGTGCATTTGATGTGGCTGACGAGTGTTTCCAGATTAAATGTCCGCGCAGCACACTGAAGACCAGAGAGGGAGCGGAGCAGAAGAATGGCCTTCATGGGCTGCAGGAAGAAACAGCTGACCTGAACAGTCAGGAGAGTGTTTGACCTGAGGAAACAGAAAGAATAATATCTATTATATTTATTATCATATTATCTATTATTGAGTCAGTGCCCATTTTATTAAGGGTTTTAGTTTGATTCTACGCTCTAGTTTTGAGGTTATGAAAGTGATGACTCAGCAGCATTTTGGTCCACTGTTTCTGCACAGCTGTGTTGAAAGAGAACATTTTTGCAAAGGATGCTGGGGCTTCAAAAATGGGACATGGGCTATTTTTATAAAAGAAGGCTCAAGAGGAAAAACTGATGCATTTTAATGAGTGAGYATACACTCGTGCAAAACTTTATATACTCAGTTTGGACTCTGAGCTGAATCATTTGAGGGACGCCCAACTCAGACCAAAACAAGTTATTATGGAAGTCTAAATAAAAAAAGCAGCTTTACTTATAAAACATGATTCTTCTGAGCTGCTGATACAAACATTAAAAGGCTCTCCAACTAGTTGTATCATCAGACATTATTTAATAAACATTTATTACTATAAAAACCAGCCTGCATTAAAAATGTGCATGCAGGACAGAAGGATAACTCAGTTCTATTTCGTGTAAGCTCCGCCCTCTAAAGGGCTTGACACACGGGAGGCGACGTCGCTCGCTCTCCATTCATTTCCTATGGAGCCTGTGCGGTGAGGCGACAATCGCTTGCCCTCCTCCAGCCAAGCGACCGGCGAAAATAGTGCATATGAAATTTCGCGCTCGTACACGTGCACACGCGAGCATGCGACGCGACATATGAAAGTTGAAAAATGTTCAACTTTTGTCGCTGTCGCTTAGCGTACAACCAATCAGCGAGGGTTTCATTGACTGACCAATGAGAGGAGAGTATGCTACACACTGCAGTTAGCTAACACTTTCACCAAGTGATTACTAAAAAGCTTTGTGGGAATTTATTGGCACCAGGGTGAAGTTTATGGTAAGTTTTTCCTCATAAAATTGTATCTTGAGTGTGTTTGTTTTTCAATATCATTAGCATCGCAAGATTTGTTTAGTTTACACGTCTGTAATGCACACCCGCCTTCAGATTCAAGAACCAATCAAATTGTGTGAAGACAAGCGATCTGAGAGCGCGATTCGCAACGCTGCGATCGCTATTGCGTCCCGTGTGTCGGGTTTCACCCTGGCTGCGATGACAGCCGTTCATCGCTGTAGTTTGTCGCTGCCCGTGTGTCGAGCCCTTTAGGCTATCGCTAATGGGTATCCYTCCGTGCCCCACGCGCATTCTGAAAAACCAATAGTCCACGCCCCCGTCCTGTGGGGCCCCACCTCGGTCCTATAAAAGCCGGTTGGACCAATGTACGTCTCCCTCATTTTTCTTCAGCTTTGGCATTCGACATGTAACCATAGAAGACTCTACATATACGTACATGTAAGTGCTATGATTCCTTTTATATTGACATGGAATTCATGTCCGGCGCCACCGAGCTATGATCTGCGTAGCCGTCCTTCCGGGCTGCTCGGGGTTCAGTTTTCCCCGGCATGACCCGTTTTTACTCCAGTCTCCTTCCTCGTCGAAGGTTGATCATAGTTAGCTAGCATATAGTTTCCCGCGGGTGTTCCCGCGGTGTGGTATTATGCTAAGCTAAGGCGCCGGACATCTTCGTGCTTCCACATGGACTCAAGGAGTATCGGTCCATGCAGGTTTTTATTCTTCGATATGGTCTGAGCTATCTCCCCCTGTGGAGGGTGGACCGAGCTAGCCATGTTTTTTCCTGCCGGGGACACTGCGGTAAACTGGCTAAGTCAGTTAGCTACCTACTCCTAGCCAGCTAAGTCGGGCGCTATCCCTTGCGTTGGACTTGGACAAGTCCCCGCTTCACTGACGGGATACAAGTGAATTACCCCCGACTTTCGGAAGGACCCCTTTCCCCGCTTCTCAGGTGAGAAGCTGGGGTCGGTTGTGCTGCTGCTTGGGGTAGCTTCAAGCCTTGGAGGCGCTATTTAGCTTGACCAGACCATTCGAAGGCCGTTGCTAGTCTGCTACTATCATGGATGTGTTAGCCGCTACKAGCTCGCTCGTTACACRGATGTGGTAGCCAGTAGTTAAGGCCTTCAGACGTTGACGCTTCCACCCAGGACTGGACTGGAAGCCTTTTCAGACCTTTTTCGGAGGATGCGCTTCTCACCTTCGGCATGGTCTGAGCTATCTTCCTCCGGGGATAGAGGCCCAGGCTAGCGGAGTTTCCTGCCGGAGATCAAGGCGGCAAACTAGCTGAGCCAGTTAGCCACCTAGCAAAGCTAAGCAGGGCGCTGTATCTCAGCGTGTTGCGCTGAAATTGGACCCCGCTTTTCAGTGTAGAAGCTGGAGTCAGCGTGCTGCCGTTTGGTGTAGCTTCTAGTCATGGAGGTGCTATGTAGCTTGACCAGAGCAGTCGCMGACTGCTACTAGCTGGTTTGTAACACATGATGTGTTAGCCGCTATTGGCTTGCTCACAACACGGAGGTGTTAGCTAGCTGGGTTAAGGCATTCAGTGGTCGGYGCTCCCAGCCAGGACTGGACTGGGAGCTCATCCAGACCATTTAGCCAAAACGAGTTTTGCCCCTAGCATGGAGATGCTAGTTACAATGCTAGGAGTTGCTTACTCCAAGCTGAGAGCTTCGGTCTCGTTCCACGCGGATGTGACAAAAGTGGGGGTGGGGGTGACCGTCTTCAGTTCCCGCCGGTCCCAGTATTGGAATCTTCGTCCTCCATGGTCTTTGCCGCTGAGGCGGTACGGTCTGCCGGAGGGCTACCTTTCTCTCACAAGCAGTAGACCAGCAGCTTGGCAGCTGGGCCGACCGGTCCCGTCATCATGCGGCACAGTCGGGTGCTGCAACCAACAACATCGCTCTCCAGGCCGTCAACTTTTCAAAAAAAAAAAAAAAGCGGAGAGCGAGGCGCGATGGAACCTCAGCACAGACGCGAGCACAAGTTTGTCTCTGTGCTGTTTAGGCTGGGTGTGTGTCCTGCATCATGGTTGGAAGCAGGAGAAATGTGTGTTTTTTGATGATTGTAAGTGATCATCTTCCCATAAAAGGCTAACCCTTCAGACAAGTGTTCAGTTCAGTCARGCCTCAGGGCGCTGTCTGTCTCACACATGYTTTGCCCACTCTGGGCAAGACTAAGCTCGCTAGTCTTGTGCCTAGCCGGCCTCTGGTCTTTACCATTACAGTCACATAACTTTCTCCTCTCCCACCGCTTTTTCACATTCTGTGGTTCGTTCCACCCCTTCTGGTCATTGAACGCACACACTCTCTCCTCTTCACCCCACCGGCGAACGGCGGACATAGGAGAAGACAGTCAATGTGAGCCACGTCACAAGCAGGGGTGCATTGTTTCGCCCCCGTTGCAGCATGAACCCACCAATCACAGCGGCAAGATGAGCGCTGTGTCTGGCTCTGCTGATCTAGCTTCAACTTGTGCTCATGTACGATCCCGGAGGTAGCCCCTCTCGGGTCACGTCAAAATCATCGTCAGCACGCAGGGCTCCATGGAGCTCCTGCACGGGTCTTTTGAGCACAGCCCCCCATAGGTCACATGACTGAGCGTGACAGAGCTAGGCTCTGAGTGTATCAGTTGCTATGACAACCGCACAGCAACCTGTGCATGTGCGAGCTCTTTCAGAGCGCAGCACGGTCTGGGAACACTTTTGTCCCTTGGACAAGTGGATGAAGC